GCTTGCAGTTATTTGCCCGTCCTCTGACACATCCTAAATCAGGCGGGTGAAAGCACACCGGGGCAGGGATGCTTTGCTGAGTGCTTCGTGTGCTGAGGCACCATCTTACTGAGGACCTTTGCGTGCAGCTATAATGCAAGACCATCACCAGACAGGACGCAAGGTTGGTCCAATTATGGTCCTGATTGCGTCTGCAGCGTGCATTTCCTCTGCTCCTTTATACTTAGGTGTTATTCCTGCCTTACTGAAAGCTTTGTGGGTGTCTTTGGCTGCTGTCACCATGAAGCAGCACTCGGAGCAGATGCTGAATGGCTCAGATGGGGTCAGCGAGCAGAACGGGCTAGTGCGAGGCTAGCACAAACACAGCAGCTCGCTCGTTGAACAGATTTCTTTCTTTAAGTGATTTTAACGTCGTAAGGGGACAGAGCATCTCAAAGATGAAGTGACAAGGTGGACAAGGAAGGAGGAGCGAGGTGTGATGTGATGGTTGGCAGTTGAAAGGCTGTCCCGCGTGCTGTTTCAGAGCAGCAGAGTGGTGTCAAAAGGATGCTGGACAACCCCCTCACATACACACACAGACACGAACGAACACACGTGCGGCTCCATGTGTTCCTCTTCTGACACAACGTCCAGGATTAGCTGGAGTGGAACTGGTGGAGGCAAATTCCCCAGTGCGTGGGGCTGACAGCACAGCTGTCTCTGTTCTCCCAGCTCTCCACTGAAACAGAAGGTAATGCTGCTTGGTTCTACTCAAGCATGGAGCCAGGTAGGTTACCCAACATGGCAACCCTGCTAATGATCAGGCAGGACCTTCAGACTCCTAATTGAGCATACTTCTTCATGTCAAAGCATGTGCAGGCTCCTTCATGCCCTCCCAACCTCCTCTGTATCTATCCTGCTTCTTCAAGGAAGTGCCTGTCTGGAAAATTAGTGAAAAGCCAGCAGGAACCTGGATTTGGGTAAAGTTGTCTCTCCCCCAGCTGTACCAGCCCTGCTGGTATTGCTAATGATTTCCTGTTGGCTCTGCAACCCACTACACCCCTACTCACAGTGTGCTCAGTCACCCGTAACCACTTCATGGGAAGGGGAGTGACAAACCCCAAGTGTGAGTATTTCACAAAACCCCAAGTATTTTCACAAACCCCAAGTGTGAGTATTTCACTAAAAAGCCCAATGGTAAAATGGTAAAAAAATAGCACAACCACGTGAAATGAAAGGTAAACAATTTATTTCAAATACTTGCAAATGCCATGTAAAGAGCGTTGTTGGAGCTCTGCTATTATACTGCTCTTTTACAGCCAGCAGTTAGCGATTTCTCTGAAGTAGCTGGAGAGCAGCCTTGTTTCATTCTGGCTTCCCCATCTCCAAGTCTCTGTCCTTCGCTTTGTATCTCTGCTGTATTAGCTTCTTATTGATCACCCAACAGCAAACTCACCAGACACAAAATAACAAATGGCTGGAAATCACAGTCTTTCTTTTTGTCATTTGTTTGTGTATGTCCCCTTATATCTGTATTTGGCAGGCCTGTTAACCTTTCCTCATTCTTCTGGTGACCAGAAGTAGGCGGTTTTGTAGGGTCAGCATCGATTTTCCATCAAGATGCATTGCCTTCCTGGAAGTTCACTGCACGTACTGGAATGCTGAAGGCAGCACAGGGAGTCCTGGACATGGAGAGCCTTTCCATAGCCAGAAGCTACCAGGTGCTGAGGACAAGCTTTGCCTGTCTTCTCTAGTGGGACCTTGCCCCCAGTATCTCAAGCTGAACAGTGGCCTTGAGGCAGGGAGAGACATACAGGAAGACAGGTCTTGTGTAAGTCCAAGGGAGAATCCTTCACTATCATATCTGAGGGCCTGGGATGACTCAGAAGGAGGGAGCACATTAGTTTTTCATTCCCTGAGAATTGTCCAGGTGCATAGTTCCCAGTTTCACATGAAGTTTAACACAGTTGGGTCAGTGGAGGGTTGTGATCTTAGGATTCATGCTCGTGTGGGTGTAGCATCAGCCAATATGGGGCAGACTTTAAAGAAAAATGCCATTTACTTAGCAAGACTAGATTGTGGTTTCTTCTCACTTTCTCTTTACAGTGCTGGCTTATGTGTTTGATTGCAAATGCTGTGAGAACAACTCAAAATTGCATATTTTTTTTTTTAAATATTGGACCCTGAAAGTAACAACTTCAGAATTGCCTGAATCAGTCATATTTGTAGAAGGAGCTTAGGTACTTAGAGTGTGGGGTCTTGGCCTTCAAAGAAACATCTGGGGATCAAAAACAAAAGAACATACAGCCTGGGAAAGAAGCCACTACCTAAAAATGGGGTTCATAAGCTGCACCTACTATGCTAGGAGAAAGCACTAAGCAGAAAACGGACAGTGGAAACCTCCTTCCCCCATTCTGATGGACCTGATGGTGGATGTGGGAGGCTGGAATTTATAGCCCAGAATTATTTCAGGAGATTAGCACCCAAACAGCTGCTTTGGGTGATGGTGGTGGTAGCAGTTAATTCATACTTGTGTGAAACATAGCGGGTTTCCTTGCCTCATACACATCTCCACCACCTTTGAGGAGCTTGTCCTAACACACTGGGACTGGGTTGACTTCCCATTCCTGCTGTTACCCATCGCTTGTTGGCCATCAGGGACTTCAGATTCATAGCATCTAAGAGGGAGATGAACATTTGACTGATGCTTAAAAAATTTGGCTGGGGACCCGGATGTTCCCACTAAGCTTACGTTGCTTTGGAAAAGTTTGCCCCAAGCCACTAAGTAAGTGAAAAAAAGGGTTAAATAGGAAAGTTCCTGTCATTCAGACCCACACTATGTTGCAGTCGCATTCAGTAATAGCATAGAAATAGTCATAGAGAGACCTACTGGAGGAAAAAGACACGTAGTGAAAGTCCAGATTCTTCAGCCGTATGAGTAATCTGAGTTGGAGAAGAGCATTAGTGCTTGTCCCAAGCAATCAATAGGAGGTAGAGAGCATCAGACCTTCTAGAAGGCTTGGGTAGGCCTTGACAGAAAATGTAACTAGTAGCCTTGTTTCTGAGTCAGATGCCCCTTTATGAATTACACAGCCTCTTGAAGCAGGGGCAGCTTGTCTCAGCGCCGTCATTTTTGGTCAGCGCTGGAGATTCTGGTGTAGGTGGGTGGAATTTGGTTTGTATTTAGGGTTGTAAACACTTGCCTCCATAAAACCCCGCTTTATCTCTCTGTGTCTGAATAGCAGAACTCACGTGGCCTGCAGAATTACCCGGCTTTTATTCTGGAGACAGAGATAACCAAGGCATTTGCAAGTTCCAGTCCTGAGAAATTACTCTGATTTAAGGTTTTGACTTCGATCCTGTATCAGTCTCGTTGTTGCTCATGCCAGACAGAGTTATTAGTCCGATCCTTTTCCCTGCCAAGTTCAATGAGCATTTATTCACCTCTGCTGTCAGCAGAAACAGGGCTGTACAGGGCTCTGTACTCCTCTCTGCAGGTTCCTCAGCCATTCTTGTCATCATGATCTCTAGGCATCTCTGCTAGTTTTTTGTCCCTCAAAAAAGGCAGCCTTGGCCATGCGTCCCCCTGCTCTTACCTGCGTGGAAGGGACAGGGTTGGCCCACCTTGCAATGGTAGACCTTGGTGGGCACATCACTTTTCCATGGCAAGTAGGGAAAGGTGCTTTTCTCTCTAAGGGGAATAAAATCTGAAAGGGTAAAAAAAAAATAATCTACCAGCGCATTTCACACACTGCAGGGGAAGCAGAAGCAAAACAAATTCACTATTCAGGTTCCCCAGCCAGCAGTCTGGTAAACCCCTGTTATTCAGGCATACCACAGAAATAGTTCCCAACATTTTCTTACACTCTGGAGAACGTTTTTAACTGGGCCCTTTCCTGCCTTACTGGCCCCACGCTCAGCATTTCCCTGCAAGCCTTGCCCGGTGTAGCAGGATGAGATTGGTGCAGTTAGCTCAACTTGTGTGGCTAGCTGCTAACTCAGCCCACCCGTTTTTCAACAAGGAAGAAGGAAGGACTTTGAATCAGAAAACTGAATATCAGTTCATATAAAAACCCATCATCCGTGGACTCCTCTCCCTGCTGGAGGCAGGGCTGTGTTATTTCATCACGGACATTGGGTACCTGCAGAAGGCTTAGCTTTTGGACCTGAATTCCAGTTGTGATCCTGTGGTGAGAAGTTATTAAGAGGAATAATCTCTCCTAGAGCAGAAGCTAATTTAAATCCCCTCTTGCACTGAGTAAGTGAAGAAAGCTTGACTTACTGTCTGTGCAAGCATTACCTTTCAGCAGCGAGAAGAACATGCTCTGAAAATTCAGGCAAACAATATGCTGGTTAAAAATACAGCTGCAAAATGTTTCACTTCTTTTTTTTCTTTTTTTTTGTGTGATGTGTGTATGCTTTGTTTTGTTTTTAAATGAAGCAAATGAGCTCCCAAGAATCAATGTGAGATAAAAGAGAAAGACACACGGGGGACATCACAGGTTGCCAGGAGGTGAAGCAGGGAAGGCAGCAACACTTTTCTGCTGCAGGGCGTGTTAGTCTGGTCAGGCACCGTCTAGGGAAACAGTAATAACTCAGGCCGGGTGTCAAGCTGAGTTGGACTAACACTAAATGATGGTGCTGCTTTGATGGAGACACTTTTCTAGCCCCACCGGGGCCCTCAGCGGCAGCCTCAGTAGGAGGAGAAAAGGTAGAAGCATAAATGCCCTTTCTCAGCTGGGTCTCATCCAGAAGCTCCGTGACCATCTTAGTGTGGTGTTGTCAACAAGCTGCTGTGAGTCAAGGTACATCAGTTTTGGCCCCTGGTGACCGTGGGGGCAATGGGACCCAGCTCATCCCACCTCTGCAGTGTCCCACCTTGGGAGATGGAAAGCTCATGTCTTTTTCTATTAGTTCTGCTCTGCCTTTTCATGCTATGAAATCTGGGTTTCTGCAGCTTTATGGTGGCCAAGGAGGCTGTTGCCCTAATTTTTCTTTTCCCCTTTGTATCCCATATGCAGAGAAGCAGAGGGAGCTGGCTCGGAAGGGCTCCCTGAAGAACGGCAACATGGGAAGCCCAGTTAATCAGCAGCCCAAGAAGAACAACGTGATGGCACGAACAAGGTAAAGGACTGGAAGAGCACTCAGCTGTGCTCTACACTTCAATACCTAATGGCCTTAGGATGGGCCAGGACCATGTTCCTTGCCATTCGCCTACGGCCAAACACGCTGCAAGAACGGTGATGGCCCTTCCCAGAGCTGGCAGACCCAAGCACCCTGTGCTGTCTTCATCCCCTCCCCTGGGGAGATGCAGGGACAGCTGAGCCCGGGATCATCCTACATGCCTGTAGGATGCAGAGGCAGCCCAGCCTGGTCGAAATCAGGGGTTTGATACATCTCTCTTGCCTGTTCTGGGTATCCTCTGTAGCACGTAATCCTGCCAGTGGGAGAGGCACGATGCTGTTAACACAGACTGGTTTAGAGCTTAGTTCTGCCTTGGCTGCTTTCATCACAATAGTTCCTGTGCTCTTTTTCAGTGATTGCCCCTTCCCCATCCTGATTGACTTAATGAAGGCTCGTAAACAATCCTTCTCTCCTACACCTCCTCCTCACTTTGAGCAGCATGGCAGTGCTCTGCTGGAGCTGCTTGGAGCATCTCGGTGTGACAGTGTCAGACAGTGCTACAAACCGCTGTAAACAAAGACATTCCTGGCTGAATACTTCCCTTTGGAGTGTTTCTCCTTTTTCCATGCAAGCTTCGTTACACCTGTGTATTACTTACCTGCATTCAGGAGGCAGGAAACCCACCCCCCCACACACACACCCCTTGCCGAGCCCATGGAATTGTATGCTTTGCCTGCTGTTGGAAAAGTGGCAGTTTTTGGTGGAGGACCCCACTTAAAACGACAGAAGAATCTGCGTAAATGCTGTGTGTTTACTGATGAATGGGAAAGTTGCATGGATTACCATATATTAAGTAGAACAGGAGTGGTAGTTCGGAGCCTCTCTGTATGCAACGCGTCCGATAGATGACCGTCCTTGTTGACATTAATTCCCCAAACCCAAAATAGGAGTCATTAAATCATGCCAGGACTTTGTCGAGTTTCATTTGTAAGCCTCTGCAATGTTGGTGGGAGACACTGCGTTGCTCCCTGCTCTGTGTTTGGTTGTTGAGACCAGGCCCTGCGTGGCAGGAAGAATTTCAGCAAATGCTCTCAGCTGGGTTTTCCGTGCCCGCTGTTCCTCCTTGTCTTCCAAATACAAGCTGGAAAGACTGGGTTTCTTTTATCAATAGGCTGCAGGATAGCTTCCTGAGAGGAGCAGTAGCACATTTGCTGCTTGAGAGACGCAGAAACACCAAAATTAGTAGAGGAAGGTGGTAAGGGAGAGTAGATGGGGTGAGTACAGGTGCCCACCTGTAAAATTAGTGACTTCTGCTTGGTGAGGTTGTTGCTTCCGAGCTGCCAATGGAAAGAAGAGTGATTGGAGTAGGGAAGAGCAGAGCAGTGACATCTATTGACAAAAGCTTTCCAACAGGCAGCTCAGTTTTATTGTGCACATCTGAGCACTGCTCAGAGGACATGTGGACCCACACACACAGCCTGCTGGCAGTAGACTTGCTTTTCTTAGTTACTTTTCATACAAATTGTAGAAACACCCCATGGGATCTGCAAAACAGAGGTTCACAGCCATTCCTTTAGTAGCAGATGTAGCCAAGCTGTGTTGTTCCCATATGGCTGGGAGGCATCTGCCACAGGGTCTCTGCATCCCCCCGTCTCCCTTGGCTTTGCAGGAACCAAGCTGTGCCACGAGCACAGCCTTGCTAATACCTCAGAATGCTTCAGTCTGTCTTGCCACAGACAGGGCAACCCCAGGAAGGCAGAAAGGCCACAAGCTTGTTCAAGCAGCTTCTTTTCCTGGTATGACAGTTGCAGGATCATGGGAGATACTCCAGTGGGATACTCTGCAAAACACCCAGGTTGTGGTTGCTCTTTAAGTCTGAGCTGTTGGCTTCTGCAGGAGGAGAACAAACTAAAGCCATTTCCCCCTTTCTAACAGTTCTGCTGTTCTCATCAGGTACGTTTTGCTTCAATCAGGCAAACCATGTTGCCTCTTACAATCTCAGCGCCTCCTCCTTCCTCAAGGCTTCTGTTCTTCTGTATGAATTTTTGACATCCAGCCTCTAGTACCAGATTGCCTTCGCCCTTCAGGGCAGGGGAACAGCCAGGATCTGGATCCGTAACATGCTTTGACTCCCTAAGAGTAAATAAAATGTGAGCGATGTTGGGGTGATGCTGGCACACTTGCTATGAGCACTGGCGGAGCCCCCAACAGCAGCCACACCACTTGGGCAGAGCCAGATGTTGCAGTCCACTCTGAGAATAACCTGAGCTGGGATTTATGTCATAACATATTTCATGTTAAATGAGCAAAAACACCACAACAAGAAGCTCATACTGGGACAGGTGTGGATGAAAGCAGCTACGGCTGCTCCCCGGCTTTGTTCCAAGGACAGTGGGAAGCGAAAATAAGGACAATCAGGATGTGAGAGAAAGACTTAGATCAGGGGCAGAGACATTATCACGGTTTCTGTCTTCTGTAGAAATGAAGTTCTGTGTTATGAAGAAAAAAGACATTTCTCGAGAAAAACAAGTAGTGGGTTGGGTTTTTTTCAATCAAGTAAATTGCACCACAAAGGGTTCTTCTCCTTGGTCCCCTGATAGTGCTTTGTTCACTCATTATATAGTAACAACCGTGAGTAACATATGGAGCAGAGAATTGAAAACTGGAGAGTGAGAATGGAAGTCAGTACTTTTGTCATCTGTATGGGAAGCTGCTGCTGGCAGATCACAGCTTCCATTCCAGACTTTGTGTCTTGACTTGCCTCCTACACACTTCAGGAGCGGAAGGACAGTCCCAGTGCTATGAGAAGGGGAACTGAATTTTGCAAGTGGATCCCATTTTCTCCAGTCCCCTGGTGCAGCAGGTTGGAAATTCTGCATCAGTTTTCACTGAATTTCACTGAATTCCCTTTCACTGAAGGGAAGGGACCATAGAGATCATCTAGTCCAACTCCCCTGCTGAAGCAGGATTGCCTAGAGCTAGAGCATGTTACTCAGGACTGCATCCAGGCGGGTCTTGAAAATCTCCAAAGAAGGGGACTCCACACCCTCCCTGGGCAGCCTGTTCCAGGGTTCCGTCACCCTCACCGTGAAGAAGTTTCTCCTCATATTTGAGTGGAACCTCTTATGTTCCAACTTATGCCCGTTGCCCCTCGTCCTCTCAGTGGGAACCACTGAAAAGAGTCTGGCTCCCTCCTCCTTCAACCCTCCCTTGAGATACTTGTAGGCGTTGATAAGGTCTCCCCTCAGCCTTCTCTTCTCCAGACTAAAGAGTCCCAGCTCTCTCAGTCTCTCCTCATAAGGGAGATGCTCCAATCCTTGAATCATCTTTGTTGCCCTTCGCTGGACTCTTTCTAGTAGTTCCCTGTCCCTCTTGAACTGGGGAGCCCAGAACTGGACACAGTACTCCAGTTGTGGCCTCACCAGTGCAGAGTAGAGGGGGAGAATGACTTCCCTTGACCTGCTGGCTACACTCTTCCCTATACAACCCAAGATACCATTGGCCTTCCTGGCCGCAAGAGCACACTGTTTACTCATTGCCATTTTACTGTCCACCAGGACCCCTAGATCTTTCTCTTCAGTAGTTGCCTCTAGCGGGTCCACCCCTAACCTATACTGGTACCTGACATTTTTCTTCCCCAGGTGCAGGACCCTACACTTTTCCCTGTTGAACCTCATGAGGTTCTTCTTTGCCCAGCCCTCCAGCCTGTCCAAGTCTCGCTGGATGGCAGCACAGCCCTCCGGGGTGTCAGCCACTCCTCCCAGTTTGGTATCATCAGCAAACTTGCTGAGGATACACTCTGTCCCCTCGTCCAGGTCACTGATGAATATATTAAACAGCACGGGTCCAAGTATTGACCCCTGGGGGACTCCACTGGTTACAGGCTTCCAACTTGAACCTGCTCCATTAATCATTACCCTTTGGGTCCTGTCGCACAGCCAGTTCTCAATCCACCTCACTGTCCCCTCATCCAGCCCATACTGCCTCAGTTTCCCAATGAGGATGTTATGGGAGACAGTGTCAAAAGCCTTGCTGAAGTCAAGGTAGATGACATCTGCTGCCCTCCCCTCATCCAACCAACCGGTTATGGCATCATAGAAGGCTATCAGATTGGTCATACATGATTTACCCTTGGTAAACCCGTGTTGCCCACTTCCAATAACCCCCCACTCTTCAACTTGTTTGGAGATGACATCTAGTATGAGTCTCTCCATCACCTTCCCAGGGACAGAGGTGAGACTAACTGGTCTGTAGTTCCCAGGGTCCTCCTTCTTGCCCTTTTTGAAGACTGGAGTGATGTTGGCCTTCCTCCAGTCCTCAGGCACCTCTCCTGTTCTCCACGACTTCTCAAAGATGATCGAGAGTGGTCCAGCGATAACGTCTGCCAGCTCCCTCAGCACTCGTGGGTGCAACCCATCAGGGCCCATGGACTTATGAATGTCCAGTTTGGCCAAGTGGTCCCGAACCTGGTCCTCCTCTACTAGAGGAAAAATTTCCTCTCTCCATACCATCCCCCTTGCCTCTAAGGCCACAGATTCATGAGGGGCAGTCCTAACAGTGAAGACTGAAGAAAAGAAGGCATTCAGCAACTCTGCTTTCTCCGTGTCTTCCACTACTAGGGTGCCCACCTCATCCATCAGTGGGCCCACATTATCCCTCACCTTTCTCTTGCTGTTAACATACTGAAAAAACCCCTTTTTGTTATTGTTAATATTGGTGGCCAAGCTGAGCTCCACTTGAGCCTTGGCCCTTCTAATTTTCCCCCTGCATATCCTCACCGCTTCATGGTATTTCTCCTTATCTGCCAGGCCCTTTTTCCAAAGATTATAAGCCTTCTTTTTGTTCCTGAGTTCCAGCCGAAGCTCTCTATTTAGCCAGGCTGGTCTTCTTCCCTTCCTGCTTGATTTTAGGGACTTGGGAATAGCTTTATCTTGCGCCTTTAAGAGTGCCTCCTTGAAGAATGACCAGCTTTCCTGGGCACCCTTGCCCTCGAGGACCATCTCCCAAGGGACACCCCCAATCATGCTCCTGAAGAGGCCAAAGTCTGCCCTTCGGAAGTCCAGGGTGGCAGTCCTGCTGGCCCCCCTCCTTGCTTCAGTGAGAATCGAAAATTTTATCATTTCATGATCACTTTGTCCAAGACGGCCTCCAACATTTACATCCCCCACAAGACCTTCTGAGTTAACTATCAGCAGGTCCAGTAGGGCATTTTCCCTGGTCGGTTCCCTCACCAGCTGCGTTAGGAAGTTGTCTTCCATGCATTCCAAGAATCTCCAGGACTGTTGCCTCTCTGCTGTGTTATATTGCCAGCAGATATCAGGGAAATTGAAGTCCCCCTGAGTACAAGGGAGAGTGATCGTGAGGCTTCTGTCAGCTGCCTATAGAATACTTCATCAGTCTTTATATCCTGGTTTGGGGGTCTATAACAAACTCCCACCACAATGTCTGCTTTACTGGTCTTCCCCTTGATCCTTATCCACAGGCACTCGACACTGTCATCATGCATATTGCTAAGTTCTAGGCATATAATACTGTTCTTAACATAAAGGGCCACCCCACCTCCTCTCTTGCCTTGCCTGTCCCTTCTGAAAAGTTGGTAACCATTTCTGTAATCTTGTGTTTCGACGAACACCGTAAGAAAATACAGCTAGTCATGAACCCATATGTCTTCTTTGGGATGTCATTTGATATATTTTAGTCTCCCTGAGCCTGCCCTTCTTCAGTGCCTGCCAGGCCTTTGTATTTTTAAAATTGTAACAGCTTCCTGAAATTTTCGAGGAGAAGCAGAAAAACATTTCAGGTGGTCAGAGTGCAGTTGGAGCATGGATGAGATGGATTATCATCTTTAGACTTAGATTTCCCAAAATCTTAGTGAAGCAGCATTGTGCATCATTTTATGTTGTTAAAGACAAGTTCTTCATTTGGAAGGAAGCCTGAGTTAACACACTTAACAAGGAGTTTTTCATCACTTTTATGGTTCCCACCTGCTGAACATAGAATCCGATTCCATTTTCTTGGTTTGGTTGATCTTTAAATATGAACCAAAGCCTTTGTGCAGTTTTGTGGATGAAATAACTCTGTTATGAGCTAGATACCATCATATTAATGCATTTTACTTATCCTAGAAGCTCTGAAGCCTCTATTCCATTTCACAAACTCTCTCAGACAATTAAAGGTGCAAAGTCATCGTCAGCCTTTGTAACACTTCTGATGAAGTGAAAGTCATTATAAAATAATGTGATTTAAAAAGTGCTAGTCTGACTGGGCTCATATGCTGCACCCACCAGCTCATATTTCTCATATGACTAAATTTAGGACTGAGAACTCAGATGCGTTGTGCTGGTGGGGCTGGGTGGGGATTCTGGCAGAAGGACCACATCCCTGATTTTTAATAGTAGAAGAACAGGAACACTGAGCCTCTGCTATCCCTAACCACCTTCTCTTGTTTACTTATTGTTCGTGTACTCCTTGTTAGAGAAAAAAAGCAAGACAAAAATGAGCAGTGTGATATGACAAGGAGGTTCACCAGAATGAAGCGTGGAGTGTCCCAACTGGTTTTTTCCTCCCGGGAGGAGCATGTTCCCAAGGCATGTCCAGCGTTCATCCCTGTGAAACAGCCATAGGCTACCTAAAGGCAAAGCTCCCTTCCTCCAAATTGCACCATTTCAAACATCTTCACTGATAAGGGAGGGCTGGCAAGGGAGTGAATTTGGGAGAGCCTGACTATCGTACAGCCTTTCCCTAGACCACGTGTGGTGCTGAGCTTTACCGTGTGGCTAACGGACAATATTTAACTATTTCAGGCTCGTCGTTCCCAATAAGGGCTATTCGTCGTTAGACCAGAGTCCAGATGAAAAGCCACTGGTAGCCCTGGATACGGACAGGTAGGCAAAATGTTAATAAGATATATGTTACAGTGAAAGCGAGCTTTCGTGCCAGGGTGCAGCGCTGAAGCTAACTCCTGCTGAAGCCACTGCTCTTGCAGGCCACTCACACTCTTCCTCGCTGTGTCCTTTGGCATATGCCATAACTGCCCTGTGTCTGTAAACAAGTAGGAAGAGTAAAGAGCACTTTGATGAAAAGGTCTGGGGGTCACAGAGGAAGGTTACCCTCCAGACTCCCTTGATGTGACTTCTGTGTGCCTCAAGGACAGCTTCATGGCATGAGAAGGATAGGGCTAACCAGGGAATACAGGTCTCTAACTGTTTCCTTCTTTGTTATATCCTTCCCTGCAGTGATGATGACTTTGATATGTCCAGATACTCCTCCTCGGGATACTCATCAGCTGAGGTGAGTTATACTCTTTCCTGCCATCCTTGCCACGAATGCTAATAGTCGAGCAGCCAGAAAAGGCTTAGAGTGGCCTTGTGCTGCCAAAAACGGCCGCACAAGGAATTCACCATTGCTGTAGACTCTCTGAGTCTGGAAGGGGCCATGGCAGAAACTGTGTCATGTTCCTTTCTTCCCTGGTGATCCAGTTGGCTCAGTCCCCACACTGCCGTGGCACAGACACAGATCTGCCCGTCGGCTGTTTTCACAGCTGCCTTTGGCTTCCCTCAGGCTTTTCCCAGTTCTGCCCAGTCCTGCAGTGTTGGGCCCATGCGGTGCAAAAGCATCAACTCCTCTGTCTCCCCAGCTCAGCAACCACATGCTTGCCAAGGACACAAATAAAGGATCTGAGGGTGTGCTGTGATTTCCAGTTCT